ACTGTGTCATCAGAAAAGTGTTGCTCGCCATTGTTAAAGCCGTAGAACATTTTCATCATTAACTTTAGGGCAGAAAATTCCTGCTCCGCAATGATCATGCATCGTTGACCTGGCTTTTAAATTTCCTGAAGGTCAAATATATCCTGAATTTAAGTATCCTGAAGGTCAAATAGTCAGGTGGATTCAGAGACTTCAGAAATGTGACATCATTATTCGTCATCGAAAGGGATCATCAAATGGAAATGCCGACACCCTGTCTAGAAGACCCTGCTTTGAAAGCTGCCGATACTGTTCCAGGGTTGAAGCGAAATACGAACTACTGTATGTGGTCGAACTACTGTGAAGTAACAACTTCAACATCAACTGATCCAGACCCGTGGGGTGATGACGAAGTTGAGGAAGACCAGCTGGAAGACGGAGACATAAAATACATAACTTATTTAATGGAGTCCTTAAATAGAGAAACCTACCTGGCAGGACATATCGATCTATAGTCCTAAGACAAAACAATATTGGGTTCTCTAGGAATAACTGCACATTCGAAGCGGTGTCTTATACTAGAAATTCGAATCGGTTGATGAAAAGGCTCTCCGATGGCAACTGATATTTCCGAGATCCCGGATGCCGGACGTCCTTAAAGAACTACATAGCAGCCCTACAAGAGGCCACTTTGGAATAATGTAGACTTTGCAGAGTTCGTGAGCGCTTCTAATGGATTAATGCAAAGGATGACGTGCAAAAGGAGTGACGATCTTGGGATGCTTTTGCAGGTCGGAAAGGACCGAAGAAACGCAGCTGGGACAAGCTGAAGCGTTAAAATGTAGGAGCACATTTTGAATGTATCACCTTTGACATCCTGGAACCTCTGACACAAACTGTTGATGGCAGCAAATACATCCTTGTTTTCATCGATTACTTCATCAAGTGGCTTGAAGCTTATCCTATTCTTGATCAAGAGGATGTCACGGTTGCACAGGCAATGATACAGCATTGGCTTTCTAGGTTCGAAGTGCCTCTTCAGTTACATTCCGATCAAGGAAGAAATTTTGCATCGGCTGTAATAAAAGAAGTCTGCAAGCTACTCGTCATTGATAATACATAGCCGACACCTTTACATCCGCAATCCGATGGGATAGTAGAGAGGTTCAATCGAGCCATCCTTAATAACCTCTAGTTGGTGGTTTCCAGAAACCAGCAGGACTGGGACAAGAAATTACCTCTGTTTTTACTGGCTTATCGTAGTGCTGTCCACAAGATTACCGGCTATTTCTCATCTCAGATGCTCTTCGTTCGTGACCCGACCTTCATTTGCCTTGTGATCTCCTTTTTGGTTGCCCTTCGGATGTGCTGTCATTGGCTGAGTTCTACATCCAAGATTTTTAGGCACGGTTTGAAGTGATGCACAGTTTTGCACTAGAGCGAGTCAACTTGCGAAGGTGAAGGTGAAGTCCCGATACGACACGAATGTTATAGGTCATCGATTTAACGAAGGACCCAAAGTGTGGTTGTGGAATCCGATTCGATGGAAAGGACTCAGACGGTGTATTTACTTGCCGGAATTCCAACTTTCGTTTCCAGCCTCATTTCTCAAAGGACAATCTTTTCAGATTCTAATGCATAAATGGCAACACCGTTGAGATTCTGCTTCGACAGGACGTCGAACTTTTCGATTAATTCCAAAAGTACCTACTTCAACACGATCTTTTAATTCTGCATTAACAGCGTTCTTATCTGGTCATGGCGCGTTCCCCCAATACTTAGCTAGATTCAATCTTCGTCATTATGATAGATGTTATTGTGGGGAACTGGGCTCAGTTGATCATTATGCTTACGAATGCGAATTCACCCGGCAATTTCACCTTGAAAAAAAACCTTCTGATGATTATTGGCAACATTGGACTTTGCAGTTTTTAAAAAGCAATATTGCCATCAACAAACTCTCACAAATCATAAGTATTTGCAATAGTCGCTTCACTTTCCCAACTGAACGCTAAGTAGTATAAAAATTATGTCAGCATCTCTAGTGAAACTTAATATTAAAACAGCTTGAACTGCATTATACAACTGAACAATAAGTTCACTGTGGATTGCTTGCACCACCTGGAATTATCTAACCTCAAATCAAAATGTAGTAGTGACAGTCTGATTAAAATTGTGATGTAACATTTACATATTCTTAGTATAACAAACATGACAAGTATGCTGAATGGAATGGTACTGTGTAATACGGTAAATTATAGCAAGAAATATTCTTTCTTGTACCGTAAGCAGATACACAGCACATTGGAATTAGTTTTGTATAATACATGGAAAATAATTTGGTACATGGCTATGAACAGAATGATTTAGGATTACTAAAATTGTAATGTATGTAACATATCAATTAGTTAACTCAATCTTTCAATGTATCTGTAAACTTTTTATCTTTGATTATGATTTAAAAAACTTCCGTTGGTCTGTTGGGGGCTGTGGCGGCAGCTAGAGTTGTACATCCTTTTCCGCTGTAGGAGCTACAATCCCCTTAGGTTAACCCTTAGGTCGGGAGCTCTCACAGTGGCGTTAAAGTCACCTTGGGATGGTTCATACACAATCCTAAACAGGCTGAACGACGTCGTAATTCGGATCCGTAAGTCATCGAATTCTAAGCCTGATGTCGTCCATTACGACTAGCTAGCTGCTTTCTACAGCCATAGTACTATGTAGTGTATATCATGTAAATAGTACAACACCATGGTCCTTTTTGTTTTCTTATTTCGTAAATTTATGCACTCATTTATTGATTTGCATTTAATTTATTTTAAGTTACTTATTGCAGTTATTGTTTATGTTGTTTGTTTTATAGTATTGCAGTGTTTATTATTGTATTGATACCTTAGTTGTAATTATGGATTCCTGTCCAAGGGTTGTATTGCCTGGGACGTGCAGTCCTTGCGAATGTTACAAATTTTGTATTTAGATAGCTAATTTTAGTAGAATTATAATTAAAATTGTTGTATATCTCTGTGCAATGCAGCGGGAGACAAATTTTAAGAGAAAAATATGCGGGGGGAAAAATAAAAATACAGGAGCACGTGCATTTAACTTTGAATAAACATGGGCATTTCGGAATTTTTTTTTTTTTTTTTTTTTTTGAAATTTAACAAATGTAATTGCCCACTACGTTAGCTGTAACCGTAATTCCATTCTCTCGTTGCTTTTCGGAGCTCTCGAGAAATAGAAATTACTAGAAAGATCTCGCGTGGCCAGTTGAAAACTATTTAAGGCGGAAGAGAGCATCTGTTCTCAGTTGCTTATTTTCTGTTTTATGAGTTGTTTAGTTTCGCACGAACTGAGATATCAGATTTAGTTTTTCCTTTAGATGCGCTTTGTATTTAATGTTTTTAGTAGTTTGAAATATAACTACTGATTATACTGCGGGACACTGTGAACACTTGTACGAATATCTCTGAGGAAAATTCAAGAGTTCTCAGATATTTCTGTTTATAATAATCATTTTTATTAACTTGTTATCGGACTTGTGCATTCAATCTATTGCAAACCCGTACGCACGCAACTTTACCATATCAGTGAATTTTAAATGCACTTGCTCTGCATCAGTGATTCATATCAGTGAATATAATTGAATCTTGCGTATCAGTGAATATATCATTTAATATCACTGAATCAAATCAGAGAATTTTAAATAAATGTATTTCGTATCAGTTAATATATAGGGTGTCCGAATCAAATGTGTATCTATTTTGAACAGTGGATTAAAAACAAAATTTTAGTGCTATGAGGGCGATATTGGCCACATGTGGGAGCTGAATTCATAGAAATTGGAGACAATATTTTTTCTTGCGTGTGACCCACCTGCGCTTTTACTAAGCCGACAAACGAAAAAATGGCGTCACCGTAGGAGAAAATACAAATTCTTCTATGATATGCAGAACAAATCCGTAGTAAAAGTGGCAAAAAATGTTTCAAACAGTTTATAAAAGAAATCCACTTCAGACTAAGAGCATAAAAAGTGGCACAAAACATTTCTTGAAACGGGAAGTGTACGGAGGTGATCGGCTTTTACATTCTGATTCACGTGTTGAAGATGTTCGACAAGCTTTCGTTTGGATCCCTCGTAAGTCGATCAGGCAGGCAGCTTCTGAATTATCTGTACCACAATCAACTGCTCATGATGTGCTGCATCGAAAACTGAGGATGCATGCATATATAGGTACATTTGATTCGAACCCCCTGTACATGTATCACATCAGTTAATATGTATTGTATCAGTGAATTTTTAAATATCTGTGAATTTTCGTATCAGGGAATTTTAAACGCGCTTTCTCTGCGAACGCATTAAGGCCATAAACATGCATGCCTTATTTTGGGCTTCGAATACGAATCTTTTGGCATCGAGCTATTTGCTCCAAGAGACTGAATGGCCACGATAGATAAATTCTCTCAATTGTTAGATTAAATATAAGTGTATCCTTATTTGCTGTCTTGCTTAAAACTCTAAGTGGAACTGAGAACTTGGATTTCAGTATAGGATACTAAACAAACTCGCAATGGAAATTTGCATTAAGATACCATTGGAAATATTTACATCAGTATGCTTAAAACATAAATTAAACAGCTATTATTTTCATTCGGTATTAAATAGCTAAACCAAATATTTGAATTTTTACTAATATAGCGAATCATGTCTGTTTAAAAATTATCAAAACTGAACTTGTTCTCTTAAAATAAGTTATAACAACAAACTTAAATGGATTCTTTTTCCTCTCATTAAATTAGCGTAGTCATAAAAAAAGGCGAAAGTTATCTAATCAGCGAAAGGATCGTAGATAAATAGCGAATAAAAAAGCATGAAAAAGCTACCAACGTAAAAATATGGTTTAATGTGCGCTTCAGTGAGTTCGATCTGAACACCGAGGTACCCGGCTATCTGTCATTGCTGTCTGACTGCCAGCGCCGCTGATTGTGCAGACTTCATTCACGTGACTCCGGTCCTTGAAGACCCATCTATTCCCCAGGACACTATGTTTACTGTTGGACACGGACAGGAAATCGTTTACTGACGATTCATCATCTGTGGTATCAAATTACAGGTAAAATAGCAGCTTATAAAAATAACAGCAAGCAATACAAACAATGCGAAAAAATACTATTTAGATATTCATTTCATATTTCTTGCATGAAAAGAAGTATACCTGTATGCAGTGAGATTTTAGTATTACGATAAATTGGAGCTTTAAATAAATGTTGTGGGTTTTAAACAAAGTGCTGTTTTACTGAAAATAAGTTTATGCTGTTAAATAGCGTTTGTCTAGACAACTAAAATTTAAAAAAATTATGCTCTTCCCTGATACCATTACAAATGATTTGGTATATGGAATAGTTCCAAAACCGTTACCTCTCGTTTCTTCATTTTATGTTACTCTACTATTTACATGTCATCTTCTCGCCTTGGCAAGTGTTTTTACAGCGCAAAAATTTTAGTCTCTCTCAAGGCTTCTTGCATAGTGAGTTCTCAGATAACGTTAAGTTTCTTAATAATCACCTGCAATTATTTAATAAATTAAGTGACTTAAAATCACTAAACGCATCTTGATTATTTCTAACGATATATCTAATTGGTATATTAAAATATATTTAATTAAGAAATATATGCAACTGATAATTTTATTAACATTTGCAGGATTATGTTTATTAACAAATACTCATTTCGGAGCACTATATATTACCTAAAATAATTTTCAGAATTACTTTCGTATTTTTTTTTCTGGTCTCTGTCTTATTTCTAAGTATCGGGGATCCATCACATTCCCTTGTCCCATTACATTGAGTTGAGACATTAATTTCAGGCATATCACAGCAACAAATTTGAAGGTTTCGAGTCTCTTCCCTAAGTAAACACTGTTAAGAGCTCTCTAAGTGTAACTTTCAGTGGGAAAGAGCAGCTGACTATGCTGCGTTTGGCTGAAACTTTGTCGAACCCAAGTCTCTAAAAATTGCGAACAAAAGCTAAAGTTTTCATGAAATTAGTTCCAGTGTTCCACTAAGTTTGTTTCACTAAGTTTCACTAAGTTTTTCAACTTGTAATTTCACTTCGTGTGCTTGTAATTTTACAACTTGTAATTTCACCTGTGCTTCTGGCTCCCATACTCCTGCAAAAAAAGTAGATACTGGCTTTTAGCCCAAAGTTAAGTTTCATGGTCTATATGTGTTTCGATGTCTCAAATTTTACGGTATACATGTGTGTCGATTTCTCATGCATTTTCAGTTGTGTGTAAAAGAAAATTAAAATTTCGATTTCTTTCTATTAACTTTAATCTTATTATATAGAAAAATTTGAAACCATTCAATTCCTCGGATGACTACGACCCTGCAAAAAACCTGAAACACCCATTAAAAACCGAAACGATATTTATCAAACAAGTGAATATGTTTCTCCTCGTAACTGTTGTGTTTTACATTCAGTTTAAAGATTAACAGTTAACAACCATAAGGACATGCAGGTCAATTTATCGTGAAATGGCACAAAACACATTTACGCCTTGCTGGTCCAACATAAGGAATTAGAAACTTCTGCTTTATTTCCATTCAGTATAATGTGTTTTATTATCAGTGGCAGAAGAACTATAAATTGCAGCCATTACTAAGGATATATGGGTCAAAAGGTGTTGATGAGATGTGACATGCGATCGATAGATTTCCCTCTCTGGCTCATGACAGAGAGAAAGAATTTTTTTTTTCTTTTTTTGTTGATGAATTTTCTCAGAACCTTATTTGTTTCGGAGCGATGGAGAGTAAGTTCCTTGTAATGAAGTCAGACAGACTCCACCTCATTTTTTTTTTCAGAAATAATTTCCATATTCACTTACTTTAATGACCATCCATTTAAACAGTAAACTAATTTATAAAATTGGGTGTGCATGACAAATTCGAAGAATTCATGTTATTATCGTTTTCCTTTTTTACTCTTTCACCAACTGCAAAAGTCATTACAAGATAATTATATTTTTGTTAATTAAAATGCGCATTTTCTATTCTTAAGCTGTGTAATTTTGAGACAGTTCTGCTTCGATCTGCATATATTTTTCTTGAAAATAAAAGCTGTTATAGACGGATTGCTTTGATGGAAAATAATTCTTCTAGAATATAATCACTTTGCTGGAAAATAATTCTTCTAGAAACATAATCGCTATGATATTTACAACTAAATCACTGAAATAGTCACAAAAAATTCCGGTAATATATATCCAGTTTTTGTCTGATTACTCATTTTGGTGAAATATAAATGGTACAGCGTTTGCTTAATGTTAAAAATAAAAGGAGCAAAATCCGGAAATAGTTTGAAGGTCCTCTAGTTTAATTTAAAAAATGAAACACTGCATAAATATTTCAGGTGAATTATAAAATAGCATTTGCTTTTCTGCGTTCCGCAACCATTTATAACGAAAATCTAGCCTATAATTACAAATGAAGGCACCCATGAAACCATGCTCATTTGAAACGTGAAATACCTGCAAATAATTCTGTGGGAAAATGTACCTTAATATGTACAATGACAAAAGAAAACTTTATGATCATTCCGTCAATGAGATAAATGAAAAGTTATAGGCAACAGACTGCCCACATCACTTTCAAGAATAATATAAATAAAACGCATTCTGTACGACTTGCTATTTTTTAAAATCATTTTTAAACTCCTCATTTGATTTTAAACTATCGTAATAATCGTATATTTTGTAACTGTATTTACTGTTCAGGTATAAACTTGCATCAAATGTAAATTGAATAAACAGTATTTTGAAAATATTTCGGTTTAATATTAAGATAACGTAAAATGTTCTAAAGCGGTCATGCTTTATTGTAAGTGAAAAAATAAAATAACTGTAATTAATGGTAGATGTTTTTAATTTTTGAAAGTATGAAAAATTAGATGTGTCAATACAATTCAAACTATATTATTAACTGCTCTTACTTTTTCACTTCAAAAATATGTTATCCTCTTTAAGACGCTTCACTTAATATACTTTTGCTTTTAAAAATACATTCATTTAAAATTATAAACAAATACTACAATATTAATCAGTTTTGTCCAACTTTTGTATCTGAACCTTATTAGCCAAGTCATTTACTATATTTCTGTCGTAACTTGTTGTCTTTAATAACATAAGAAATTCGCTTAAATTTGAGCGAAGATGGTTTCTTACAGTTGATTCACCGGCTCACAAGCATCACAGATATTGTAAGGAGTGCTATTGTATATTTTTTCATGGCCGACAGTTTTTCTAGTAAATCGTTCCATTATTCAAGCATTAAACTTTCTAATTGTTGGATGTTATTTGGAGTATTCGCACTCCATTTCTTCTAATACTTCACGAAGTTTGACAAATTTGTTCACCCAAGTAGAATTTTCTTGAAGTTCTTTCGATTCCATTTCTAAATTGTTAATATGAAACTACTCAAAACATATCACTTTAAGATCACCCATTCTATCAGAGTGAAATTAGTCTTGAAATAAGCTGCAATATTTTCTCCTAATTCCGAAATTGAGAAAATCATGCTGATACAATTTTCTTCGAATTTTCTAAAATATCCAGATAGTTTGTAAATATATTTTTTCTGTCATCCTAAGATAATTTATCGACGTCAATTCTAAGCGTATTTTAAGCGAAAAGGGAAATATTTAAACTTCTTTATTTCGATATCTTTAGAGAATACATCAGTTTTGCGTTCTAAGGATAATATGATGTCAAATAATTTATTTACACTTTGTCCTTTTCATTGAAATTCTTTATTTACATCAGTACATAATGTTGTAAAGTCGTTGATAAATTTTTCATCACACAACCAAATAAGATCCATCAGTTCTGGAAATTCTTGCTTCTTTTCTGTTATAAAAAAATCTAATTTCCTCGGAAAGCTCTACAAATCTGTGAAGAACTTGTCCACGATAGAGCCAGCGAACGTTACTGTACATGAGTAATCCATAATATCGCGATTCCAAACTTAAATAAATAATGAATAAAATAGGATAAGTAGGGGCTTAAGCTCTGCTCGCCTTTCTATAAAGAACCGGAAGTTTCAAACTACCGAACTCTTTCTCACATTGATGCATAGCATCGAATCTACATAAAAATGTTTAATTTTCAAAATTATTCTTTGCCCCCATGGCACAGTGTGAGAACCACTGCTCTAATATAAAGATTTTATGTGACATTTATTTCAAAATTCAATTTTTGTATGATATAGAAGCCACGCACACATTTCATCACATTTTCAAACTGTTATATTTAGAAAATTAAGCTGTCTAAATCAATAAAAGAGACGATTCCGTTATAGGGGCTCTCACTAGCAAAGAATCATTCCTCTATATCTTGAAACATTAGTTCTGTTAGTTTCACTAGTTAACCTTCTGTCTTGGAAAATGCCATAATGGTGCTCCTCGGGCTATCTTCTCAATCCGCCTCTGGATATGGCTGCTAGACTTGTCTTGGAGATTTTTTTAAGTGTATTCAGTGACTGTAGTGAATAAAAGCAATTTAATATGTACCTGTGGCGTGCCACCGAAATAAGGTTCACCATCCCTGTTATAAGCGGATTAATCGAATTTGACAAACGCTAGGCCACAGTTATTATTCTACGGTTTCAAAGCATTTCGGAAATGAAAACAAGGATATGAGATTCTTATAATCGGCAGTCGACCAAGTTCCAAACGGTGATACGATGGAGCAGTTGAGACACTACAGAGCACTTCATTCTTAGTTTTCTGGAGGACCAAAATATCCGTAATGTACTTGACGAAAATGTATATCACTTGTGTTGCTGCACTTTGTAAACAGCCCGAATAGTTATTTATCATTTACCTGGGGAAATTGCGCACTCAAAACCAATATAACCTGAAAGCAGGTTGTAATAGATTTACAGTATTTTTTTGGCAATAAGATTTGTTTAGACACTCATACGCAAAGAAGTATATGCTTGCATGATGCTGGTGTAACAACATCCTTGGTTTCAACAGAAAAAGGCTAGAAAGCTTATATTTAGAAAGGTTCCAGACTTTGTATTATTCTCAGACTCTACAAGCATCAATCCATAC